GATATTCGTGGAGGTAAAAATAAAATTTTGGAAGTGATTTTCATACAACATTTTAATGTTTAAGAATAATATATTATTATAATGAATATAGGCCTATTTAAGTAAAATGTATTATAATATTTCATAAATAAATAATAGAACCGGGATCGAAATCGAACAGAAAATGATTGATGAAAACAACAAGGAATTAATGAATAAAACTAGAAAGGATAATAAAAATTATGAAAGTATTGTAAATGTAGAATATAACATTATATTCCGGTTAATAACATTATTTTTCCAATCCCAAAAAAAAAAAAATTCAAAATCATCACTTTGTTACGATATTAAAAATTGCGTATGTACAGTACAATACTTGTACATATAGTCATTGCATTGTTTTATTATTAAATATATGTATATATGCATATTTACATAAGTAAATATCGGAAAGACAGTATCTGGGCATTTTAAAAGTCATTTCAAGGTAAGATTTACAGTTATAGTCACGTCCACTGATTACTGAAAACATAATTTCGAATATACTGCAAGCCCCTATTTCAGTAGTAATTAAAGAATAACACAACCAGTGGTAACTATTGATTTTGCAATTGAACTAAGTTTAGCATTATGTAAATTACACGTAAGGTGTTTAGTAAAGAAAAATTTGAAAGTAATTTGATAACTTTCATTTCTAAACTTTGAAAAATAAATGGTTTTGTAAGCTTCCGAGCAGTTACCGAAATATATTAACCATTAGAAATTAAATTTACCGTACAAAAATTCGCTGAAAAGCGCGTCAGAATAAAACAATCACATTGCAAATGATTACTAGAAGAGAATGGTGTATTTTTCACAAGCTACTTGTAATTATTACAAGTAAATAGTTGTAAACAAGGAAGCAATTGTAAATTCTTAAACTCATCGTTATTAGTGATTAATAAATTTTAATGTACAGTGTAAAAAATCCAACAACGAGTTGCTTAACTTTCTCGGCAGCATTTAAACCTGCATATGTGGCATTATCTGTTATGTTTTATTTAAAAACGTTTTATATAATTAATTATTATCAAATAGCAAAAAGCTCAATTTTCGGGATTGGGATGAATTTTATAAAAGAAATTGTAAATGCTAATAACGAATAAAATCGTCATTAAGTCCGATTCTACTCGTGAAATAACACACGACCCCTTTATCTTCCCACCCATCGATCTTTAACCACCAAAATTAAATATAATCAATTCCCCTAATACACAAACCTCTCCGCAAAATTTCAGACATTTTCGACAAAGAGCACGGTAGTTATTAAATTTCAAAGAGAGTAAATAAAATCGTACTCCGTACACATACACACTAACATTCGTACATACAGAAAAAACCCTCGAATATTTTTGCATTTCTCGATGTTTTAATTATTTTTCCGTAAAGAGTTAAATTTTATATCGTAATAATATATCATAGTGTGTGTAATTAGTAAACATAGTATTATATTAGAAGATATTACTTTTTATAATAATACATTATAGTAATTAAGTTATATACTTATTTTCGATTACTCCGTGTTACGTTGCCTCTTTGATTTCGTCCTCGAAGAAAATAACAATAGGAACAGGTTGACATTTAAAATTACCATTTGACTTCTCCTAAAACGTAGAGTGGATGACTTTCTTCCTTTACTTAAAAGCTTTCACTTTTATCTTTATTTTATTTTGTAGGAAAAGTAAATGAGTAACAGTCGAACTTAGTCATTTTGTCTTAATCATTGTTTATTAAAAATAGTACGGAAGAGAAATTATTACAATTTCCTTTTTTAAATAGCGATTTTTTTTCTCTGTAATAAAGTGAAATTATCACACGAAGTAGCTAATTTGGTGATTAATAGCTAATGAAATAATAATTAATATCAAATATGATGTATCGTGTTATTATAACAGTTCTTTAATGTTCAATTTTTTAAAATTGTAATTTATATTTTGTCTCAAAAACTGAAAACAGTAAACAAATTTTTGTTTTTGTGGCATCGGTGTTTACAGATCACGTGCCAAACTACTATTAAAAAAGTTCACTAATTTCTAAAATAAAAACATTGATAAAGAAAAATGAACATAAACATTAGGCTGTATCTTACTCGTTAGAATATGTGCTTTGTTCTACTACGTATCAGAATTTATATCTATAGATAATTTTCTATATAAGTTTATATATATATATCTTTAAATAACATATATTCATACTTACTCTACGAATGTAGATGCTGTGATAAGGACCGGAAACTAATCGGAACGGGTCGAAAAATCTCAGGAAGTTTTCTGAAGCGGCTTATCTCGAACATGTCGGCAGGAGTTGCTGTGGAAAGTTGAAAAATATCGCCACTATTTCGCCATTTCAAATTATTTATCACTACCAGTTTTACTATTAATTAATGCAGATGCCGGTAGCCTTATCAGTTGGCAGCTGGAAAGCAAAAGTAACACGTTAAACTGTCATTTACGAAGAGATAGTCAGACTTTTGGGTTTCCAATTCGAACGAAACTTGGTGAGAACGTAGCAATAAAACATAAACGTCTCCTTGTCAAAATAATAAGACCCACTTTTCAAGCGTTTCCAAAAAATGGCCTTTGAAAATTTATTGTTTAGCTTATAAGTCTTTGGAAATTTCATATTGAAGGCCGACAATATCCGAGTGAATTCAACGTTAGGCACTGAACTAGACAATGTAGGTTCGAACTTTCGAAATTTTAGTTTAGTTCTTTTTAACGTGTAACCTTATTATTTTATTTCACCGCATTATTATTACTATTATTATTCCTCGTATTTAAAGCTTATAAAACAAGCGATTAAAAATTGTGATGCCATTTCCTGTTTACGGAAAACGAGCCTCTGTAGATTTAACTCTTACGTATTTAAATAAAAGTCAAGCTGAATTTAAACATTTTCAGAAGGAAGTATATAANGTTAAATTATTGCAAACCAAAAAAGATTGTTACTGGACATCAAAATCTATATGAAAGAGAATGCCTTTAAATTTTTCAAAACTTCCTCAAATAAAAATAAATTCTAATAAACTATACTTTATCTTTAGATAATTTTTAAATTTAAAAAAAAAAAAAAATTGTAAAAATACTACGCAGGACAAAATGTGAAGACATTGTTTCTTTCAATTCTGTGAATATATTTTATATAAAATCTTTTATTTATAGCTTATATAATCATTAACCATTTATTATTTTCAGAACTGTTATTATTATTAGTGAATTTAATTTTTAAGAATTGGATTCTGTCATTTTTAATGCAATATTTGAGTAATTATAATTTAACTGTAATGAACTATATTGTTTCCTAAATTTTTTCCTATACTTAAATTTTGTCTTAAGTTTGTTTTTCTATTATTTCCTAATATGATATTAGAATTTAGTAGTAGTAAAATATGAGTATATCCAATGATAGGAAGAATCATGAATTTTATACCAAATATACATTTAAATATCTTGTGATACAATTTAGTCTCAAAAAGGTTTAAACAGAATAAATTTTAATCTCAAAATTCAAGATATGATTATGATTAGAATAATAATAATATTCAATTATGTATTTATACAACAACTTTCCTTTTGTAAAGAGTATAGCCTATATACTTTTCTTTACTCTGCACCATAAAATTTAAAATTATTTTGGTTAATGGGAAATGCTGTTTGTGTTGTGACTTGATTTTTATCTCTTAGTAGACTTTCAGCACTTAGAATAAATTATATTTATTTCTTACATAATTTACAACAATTCAATAATTAAGAAACTTATCAAAAATTGTACTCTTTAAATAATATAGTTTTGTAAAAAAAATGTTTCTTGTATAATAGATGTAAAAGATATGAAATAATTCTTTATTAATTAAAAAAAATTAATTTTTACTTAATAATAATGCGTTCTAAAATATACAGATATACGTTAAATAAAATAATGAATAATTATTTGTTGTTGTTTAAAAAATTAAAAGTTTCAATAATATTTTTAGAGATTGAAACATACTGTGTATGGAAAATATAACAGCCACCAGATGTATTTCCTGTTGTTGGTCTATGATACAGTGACAACAAGAAATAAAAGATATATTTTTAAGTTATATGATGAGGGACAAGGCTTCACATATTTGGGATAGACCATTCCAAAAAAATTCCGGGAGTTGTTTTGATAAGTTCTCCATAACCACAGTAGCAACCAGCAGTAGGGTGATTAGTGTCAGCTTATGGATTTTTAGCTGTATACATGCTAATCGTAACTGTGAATGCAACTAATATACTTGTAAATTTATATTTAGACTTATAGAGGAATACGGATTGACATTTTATATGTTGAACCGTGTGTAAATTTAACTGTTAAATCTCGGCTTTTAATGAGACTTAAACAAGAATTTCTAGTAAGAATTGCTTAATATAGATTTATTAATACAGTATATTCATTTAGAAATTTTTAAAGAAAACATTTCAAGTAAAAAATGTTTGACAGAAAATTTAAATTACTGTATTTTAGATAAATTAGTACTTAGTATATTTGCTGATTAAAGTTTCCCTCACATAAAGCTTAATGCAGTTATATTTTGAAACAGTTTCACAATGCTTTTAAATTGGGACAAAATAATCCAAGAAAAAGTAGATTGTATTTCAGAACAGAAATGTCAGTTTTCAATCAATCAAATATTCTAGAATAAACATTTATTTAAACAGTAAATTAATACTGTACTTCAATAGTTATAATTACTTTCAAATATTTTCAGTACAGTTTAGGATAAATATTAAAAATTCAGCAAGCATTATAAGCTAGTGAATATGTATTTTATACATAAAGAAGAATGATTTTTGATATATTTTTTAAAAAGATTTTGATCATATTTCAAATTAGTGTGTTTTTTTAAAGATTGTGAAAAGCATAGTACTTAGATGGATTGGTTCTGTAAAGTATCATCACAGCATTAAAATTCTAAATATTTTGTGTATTGCATTAGTTTGAAAGTAAGGAGTTTTATATAAAAACAAAACATATTTATTAACTTAACAATTTCATGTTTTTATACAAGTATATGAAAGAGTATATACATAAAATGTACATATTATGACTGGAAAAGTGTGTGTTTTTTTTTAATTATACAAGTCTCTCTGTGTTGTACAGACATCAAAATGTAGTTTGCACCACCAGAATTTTTTACGATATTCATATTCATGGAATAAAAATTTATTGTTAAATTTGAAATTTAATTATAAAAAAGTCATCCAGAGAAGGGAAGAAAATTTGGCACTATTGTAAAATCTGTTTGTCTTTGTTCATGTAATAGTGCAAAGTTTTCTTCCACAATGCATTAATTGTAGAAATGTCCATATCTGGATAGCCAAATAAACTAGGAAGACTGAGTTTATCGTCCTCTAGCCACTGAGTTATTTTTTGGTTAGTGATAGCTAATTTATAAGTCAGATCAATATGGTGAATATTCAGTTTTTGAGCTAATATCCCCGATACGTAGACATCATCCACCCAGAAATATGGAACACGGAAGGATTCTATATAAAGGCGAAAAACAACATCGGGTGACGTGACAATGGCCCATCCCGAGCAATACGGTGGATATTTTTGATTTCTATATTCTTTAAACGAAACTCTCCACTTGCTACGTTGGCTTCTCTTTGGATTTGGGGAAGGAATAACAAAACACATCATTAAATTTGGTGATGGAAAATATCCAAATGCTGCGTATAGGTAACTAATAAATTGAAATATGTCCACGTAAACGTCATCGTCAGTCTTTAAAATATATTTCACCTGACGGCAAAAATAAGTAACCCATTTAAGTCCCATCACGTGTTTATAAGTGAGATTGCGATAACTGTCCACGAAATTTCCCTGAACTAAATCACCAAAGAGTTGCTGTTCTCTAATTATGCTCTGTTGTAGTTGAAGATCGTTTACAGTACCAAGCATAAACACTAAACGGACAGATTTGCCAGCCACGGTACGATCTTTTCCCCACGTGGAGCGTATGGTCGCTCTTCTCTGAAAGTGAGTCGGAGAACTGTGCACAAATATAATAAGAAATAATTTAGGTTGATCATCGCATTTACGGCTGTTGAGCAAAAATTTAAATCCTTTGTAGTCTATTAACGTATCAAAATCCGTTGTAAGATTAATATAAGTTAAATTATAATTCTCGTAAGATTTTTTCCACCAATGTATGCTAGGAAGAGGCTTGGGTTGAGACGTCGGGTTAAACTGTTGTATGTACCATATACTGTTGATAATATAGACTATGATAAAAATAATTAAGATATGCCAAGAACTGAAGTGACGTTTTCTATCAGGTGGCTTCATTTCAAAATCTGTTAGAGGAAACACACACAAAGTTACTTAATTTAAAAAAAATAACGAATTTTTTTAAATGATGATAAAAAAATAATATATAGTTTGTAATAATACACTTACCGCGATTTTTAATTTTAAACCAGAATAAGATAATTAAATTCTTAAAAACATTACAAAAACTTTAAATTTTATAACCAAAAGTCAGGTTGTCGCGTACTTTTTAAATTAAGATTGAATATCCGAAAAAAATGTCACTAAGAGACGTATAATTATATTAAGGAAGAGTTTCCTTTAGTTCTATCTTTATTTTCCGCATATAGATCGACTCGTGTCTCTAACAAAATCTTGTACTAGACTTATCCACTTATTTTCACTTAAAGAACGGCATTTTCTTATATAAAATGATCAAATTTCCTTTTCTTCGACAACGAAACGAAGAAATGAGCCATCTTAATATCAACACCAGTAATAAATAAATAAACTATATAATTTAATATTTTTATTTATTAAATTTAATCACTATTACATAATTAGATACCTTAGTTAATTAGTAACGCGCTAAACGATCGTTAGAATTAAGTACGCTTAAAAGACGAATAGTAAAAGTTTGGCTAAACTGCTATTAGTTAGCCATCGACCGGCTTCCCCCATTTCCGATTTGGAATGGTTCCGGGTGGAAATTGTTATGGTAACCGGACTGGATGCTCCTCTAAATCTAGTTATCACTAAATTTATTTAAAATAAAATCGATATTTTTCTTCGACGTGACGTATAAATCACGTTTGTAGAGTAAAAGACGACACGCTTAAAACACGTCAATCGATAACAACAAAGAAGAGCCGAATGAAAGATGCGACTGCACAAAAATCTTAATTTTATTACTGACGAGAGGACGACGTAAATAATCCGGCGATTATTTAAACGCTCCGATCGATCGTCGTACTTTTCGATAAACTTGCGTAAAAATTCAAATTCCTACCTCTTCGGGCGCTACATTTGGACAAAGCTTCGCAAGTGGGTTACTATTCTTGTCTCTATGCTGCTGCATCACGTGCGCATGCTCACACGCTACTCGACGTCACCGTTTACCGCAAATATGGAAATTTTCGGGAGTAAAAATGTACGTAAGCGCGTGGAAAAAAGTGTTTAGTGTATAATTATTTAATATTTCATAATAAATAAAAGTGACATTTATTTATTTCGTAACTTATTAAAATAGATTCTATATAAACAACCACTCTGAAAATATTGTTTTGTGTTTTAACATGCGTTTTCGTTTCTATTATTAAAAATTATTTAACTTAAAATTTGCATTAATAATTCTAAATTTACGATTTATAAAAACTCGTCTTTAAGCTGAATTATTAAGCGCAACGTTTATTATCGTCGTCACATTGGTGCAAATTGTATCTTCCTCGGAGGATTCTGAGACGATGACATTTGAATAAATTGATAATTATAATCGGAACTGACGTTTGTCACAGTATAAACCGATGATATTTACGCGAATTTAATGTAGAAGTGCATCGATCAGTGCTTGTTTGTTGTATTCGTTTTATTTAAATAAATAGATTTATTAAATAATATCAACAAATTCGATTTATTGTTATGAAATATCAAAGAAAATTGGGATCCATATTTATTATTTTGCAAGATTTAAACTTTATTCAAATTTACTGAATGAGAATTTTGCTGAGTTGTTCGGTTAAATTGCTTTTATACGAGTAAAAATATTTTAATTAGCGCAAAATGTAAAAGTGCAGAGCGAAGTATTGTTTTATAATTATGTTTATAAGATTCCATATTTTTTATAGTTTAAATTAATAAGTTATACTTTGAGAATGATAAGAATTTCGAAGTTTTTTCCTAAATATATATTTAAAAAAAACTCTCGTATAGTTAAAATTACGCGTTAAAGAATAACGTAACCGGGGTGTCTGGCCCCCTTACCGTTGTAAATAAATAAATTAAGAAAAAGACAAACAAGTAGGGTAACATATTTGAATGTTACAAACGCACTTATACGCGTGTATATACTATACAATGCCAAAGAATTTAGTCTACCCTTCATCCGAGGCTACTAATGGCAGTGAGTGGCACCTTCTAATTCGGCCCCTTAATATCAGTTCTAGTTACGCTACTGACTGCATTCTTGTCTTCTGATTTGTTTTCAATAAAGGAGCGAAGAAATCTATTTTATTTTAATTTACAGTTTAAAATTTTTTATTAATTTTCTGAGTANCAAAATCTTGTACTAGACTTATCCACTTATTTTCACTTAAAGAACGGCATTTTCTTATATAAAATGATCAAATTTCCTTTTCTTCGACAACGAAACGAAGAAATGAGCCATCTTAATATCAACACCAGTAATAAATAAATAAACTATATAATTTAATATTTTTATTTATTAAATTTAATCACTATTACATAATTAGATACCTTAGTTAATTAGTAACGCGCTAAACGATCGTTAGAATTAAGTACGCTTAAAAGACGAATAGTAAAAGTTTGGCTAAACTGCTATTAGTTAGCCATCGACCGGCTTCCCCCATTTCCGATTTGGAATGGTTCCGGGTGGAAATTGTTATGGTAACCGGACTGGATGCTCCTCTAAATCTAGTTATCACTAAATTTATTTAAAATAAAATCGATATTTTTCTTCGACGTGACGTATAAATCACGTTTGTAGAGTAAAAGACGACACGCTTAAAACACGTCAATCGATAACAACAAAGAAGAGCCGAATGAAAGATGCGACTGCACAAAAATCTTAATTTTATTACTGACGAGAGGACGACGTAAATAATCCGGCGATTATTTAAACGCTCCGATCGATCGTCGTACTTTTCGATAAACTTGCGTAAAAATTCAAATTCCTACCTCTTCGGGCGCTACATTTGGACAAAGCTTCGCAAGTGGGTTACTATTCTTGTCTCTATGCTGCTGCATCACGTGCGCATGCTCACACGCTACTCGACGTCACCGTTTACCGCAAATATGGAAATTTTCGGGAGTAAAAATGTACGTAAGCGCGTGGAAAAAAGTGTTTAGTGTATAATTATTTAATATTTCATAATAAATAAAAGTGACATTTATTTATTTCGTAACTTATTAAAATAGATTCTATATAAACAACCACTCTGAAAATATTGTTTTGTGTTTTAACATGCGTTTTCGTTTCTATTATTAAAAATTATTTAACTTAAAATTTGCATTAATAATTCTAAATTTACGATTTATAAAAACTCGTCTTTAAGCTGAATTATTAAGCGCAACGTTTATTATCGTCGTCACATTGGTGCAAATTGTATCTTCCTCGGAGGATTCTGAGACGATGACATTTGAATAAATTGATAATTATAATCGGAACTGACGTTTGTCACAGTATAAACCGATGATATTTACGCGAATTTAATGTAGAAGTGCATCGATCAGTGCTTGTTTGTTGTATTCGTTTTATTTAAATAAATAGATTTATTAAATAATATCAACAAATTCGATTTATTGTTATGAAATATCAAAGAAAATTGGGATCCATATTTATTATTTTGCAAGATTTAAACTTTATTCAAATTTACTGAATGAGAATTTTGCTGAGTTGTTCGGTTAAATTGCTTTTATACGAGTAAAAATATTTTAATTAGCGCAAAATGTAAAAGTGCAGAGCGAAGTATTGTTTTATAATTATGTTTATAAGATTCCATATTTTTTATAGTTTAAATTAATAAGTTATACTTTGAGAATGATAAGAATTTCGAAGTTTTTTCCTAAATATATATTTAAAAAAAACTCTCGTATAGTTAAAATTACGCGTTAAAGAATAACGTAACCGGGGTGTCTGGCCCCCTTACCGTTGTAAATAAATAAATTAAGAAAAAGACAAACAAGTAGGGTAACATATTTGAATGTTACAAACGCACTTATACGCGTGTATATACTATACAATGCCAAAGAATTTAGTCTACCCTTCATCCGAGGCTACTAATGGCAGTGAGTGGCACCTTCTAATTCGGCCCCTTAATATCAGTTCTAGTTACGCTACTGACTGCATTCTTGTCTTCTGATTTGTTTTCAATAAAGGAGCGAAGAAATCTATTTTATTTTAATTTACAGTTTAAAATTTTTGTCTAATAATTTAATCGTTAAGCGTTTAATGTTTATTAATTTAAACTGGAATTATATATAAAATATTTGTTTTCTATAAATGTACGCGCCTATAAAGACGGGTATTTTACATATAAACGTGGAAACGAAATAGCGACTCATCGTATCGTAAACAGCGTACGTGAATGGTGTTGGATTAACGGGATTCTCGTCTGTACAAGTGTTTTTCAATTTAAAAGATATAATTCGAAAAGAGATAGGAAATCGAAGGAGCTTTTATAAGTTAATGGAACGTTGATTTGTGTTTGTGATTGTTTGACCGTCACAAATAAAAAGATGGAGATGGGCTTTTAACCCGAACGAATTTTAATTATAACAGCTGTGATTTTTCGTCCGTAATGTCTAAATATTTCTGAAGTAAATCGTTAAAACGATTTAATTTCATAAAGCTATTCGAATTTTCAAGTTTGACAAATTACATAAAATCTAGGAAGTATTATTAAAATTGATATCTAATTACAAGCTATTAAGTGATAAAAATAAAATGAATGATTTCTGTTTTGAATATTTACAAAAGTAAGTGGTACTTCAAACTAAAGAGACTTAATCATACAGTTTTCATCAGTTGTATGATTGATCTACCGGGATTTCTCCGATAACCTTGAAATATACAAATGATATATACCGTACAGTACATTCCAATATATTTTAAAATAGGATTTGCTATTACCAAAATGGAAATAGGATACAAAATAGAAATCCTGTATATATAAAAAAATTGAGGGGAAAATATCGACGTAACGTAATTGATAGATCGTCCTATTACTTGATTTTCTAAAACGAAATTTTTATTATTTTTGTATTACGTATATTTTTAGCTTCAAGAAAGCTTTTTAGACCTAAAATAGCATGAATTTAATCAATGTTAATTGTAATAAAATGTAAACAAATTCATCGTTCTTGTTTTTTAATGTTTAATAGATTTGTATTCGTGTTAAAACATTAAAATAAACACATTTACAATAATATGTAAATGTTATTGTTATAATGAAAATAACAACAATGAGAAATTAGCGTACTTTGTAACCATAAAACAAATAATGAACTATGATAATAGAGTTAAAGTGTAATGTTAGTCATTAACTGTAACAATTACATTAAGTGTTTATTGAACCATCGCATTTAGTATTAATTAGAGTATCATGCATATTATATATGATAGGCAATTAACGAAATCATCGAGTGTCTAATATCATATGAAAAAACAATTAAGTTCAATTACAATAAACATACCTTTAACGGGCGATTTATAAGTGATATATCTCCCCAATATTTTTACCGGTAAACTGGCCCCCAAGATGCGTATTTTATTTTATACAGTCACAGAATATGATCTATGTTAGTATCATTTAAGTGCACGAACATAAATGCATACATCCCACTTGTGGCAAACACGTGTTAACACATCTGATGTTAAGCTGTGTATTACAAGTGCGTTTTATGTGGAGAATTTTGAATCGTCTCGTATAAAACTAGAATTATTACATTAATATTTTCTTTTAAAAAACAATTTAATAGATGCGGGAATATATTAGCTGTCATAAAACAATTTTTCGTTCAAAAAAACTCGTGATGAGATCGTATCGTTATGGATAACGTTAATGGCCTAAAAATGTCTTATTGAAAATCGCTTTGTTTTTACTGAAGTTTAAAATATGACATTTCGAAATAGGAATAATAAAGTTTAAAAACCGTGAAAATTAAATTAAAATTCGAATTATTCAAATATTAAAGAAAGTAAAAACGCGTAAGGGATTTTACTTTTGTTTATATAAATAGACTATACGTCATCGCGCTTCGAAGTTTTAATATCACTTAAATCAGACTTATATGAAATATGCATCTGAAATAAGAATAACGATATAACTTAACATCAATAATATTATTTATGTCATTGCGATTGTTTCTGCTTTGTTTCGGGTAATCTGAAAAAAAAATTTGTGGCCATTGCCTCTATTACTAACAATTTAATCTTTGTAACGAATTGTTTTGTCTATCTAATTGTTTTGTATTTATTTAACTAATGCTTAGTAATAGAATATTTCGATTTGATTCGGTTTGAAAATGTGTCTAGAGTCCATTGCAGCGTGTTTAAGGAAGGTGGCTCTATAAACATAGAGCCTTAAAAATTAGCCTTAAAAATCTTTATTTATATATTTTATTCCAATTAATTGTCCATTACATAATTGACTTTTATTCACAATATCGATATACAGAAGTAAGTCGATGTTACTATATACAATAGAATCTCCTTATGTGACTCTTACGTCGGAGGTGCCCAAGTTAGGATCGACACCACTCCGCCTTCAGATGCACGGAATCTTCCGGATAAATAACGCACTCCACTACTCATTTAGCCATAAAACAATAAATATTTATTTTTCGAGCAAATAAAAATTTACAAAGAAAATAGAAATAGAGGTAAAGTCTTTATGCGCGCCTTTACGAGAGGTTTACAACCACGTACGCCAGTCGATAAATACCTGAATCTGTGATACTCTCTCTGGTCGGCTTGGACGACGTAAAGAGAAGGCGTGAATCCAAAAGTTCGTAATGATAATATCCTTCACGGGTTTCAATCGAATGCTCGTTAGTTCGGAGCGGCTAAGGCTGGGTGGAAATGGCGGGAACTAGAGAAGATCGGCGGTAAAGCACGGTGGGGGTAAGTACACACTTCAAAAATGGGAGGAGAAAGTTTGAAGTGTGAAGGGGTGACATTTCCTCTTTCTTTTTATTCGGAGTCCTTCTCCTGCTATTGTGATGCCAAAATTTGGTAAGTGGTGTAGGGAGCTGGCAGCTAGTCCGATTTCCGATTTTTAGTGAGAATTCCTTCTGTGAGTAGTTTTTATCGGAACATGTGTCCTTTACACTTTTTCTTCAAGAAATTGAATTTAATTAAAATATATATATATACTATTTACTCCCACTTTGAAAAAAACATTTAATTAGAAGCCTTTTAACAAATAAGCAGCTTCCTGAAATGAAAAATCATCGAATAAACCTGCATGCATCATCTAATATACTTTAAGTTACTATTTATTAAAAGTTTTATCTCTCGTTTATCGACTTTAATTTTAAAAATGTTGTTCATAAAATCTACTCTCCTGTTAATAAAGTATCCATTTTGTTAAAGATAATCCATTTTTAAATAGTTTTTTAACGTTTGCAAAGCGTATAATTTTGTTACCTTCGAGCCTCGGCTACGAGATTTTTTCTTCATATTATCATTAGTACAGGTACATTAAAAAAGTGAGCACGTATGATTTAAAAAATAACATTATAAATTATTGAATAAGTTTAATAATATTAAAGTATAATGTATGATAGATTGTAAAATAGCAAGTAAGTTTGTAAACGATGAAAATGTATTAATAATTTATACAAAAAATTTATCGATATGTTTGATTATAAACATAAATACCAGATAAAAGTGGACAGACGTTTATTTCGTAAGAAATTATAAAATTATGCAAGAAATATTGGAAAATACCTGATAAAACTAGGATACATTATAAGCTATTGTAATTTATTGAAAATGTAACAGATCACATTAAAAAATAAAGTAATAAGAATCAATGCATGACTTGTTGATTGTTTAATTATCAAATTATAATTTATATTTGAAAACGCTCGTATTTAACTCATATCTAAAATATTGTTGAATGATATTAAGTGTCTTACAAAGAAAAAAGTGATGCATTTGAAAAATAATTGTGAAGAAAGATATTATTAATACATCGCGCTTTACAAAAACTGATTATTTTACATAGTGTTATTTTGCACTAAATTATTAACTTGTTAAATATTATATTATATTATTTATATTTAATTGATAAACAAACTAAAAATTATACGTTGTAACAAAAAAGTAATAACGATAAAAAATTACAAAATCGTAAAAGAATGATAACAACAACCATAAGGTTTATAGCCAGTATTTTGGCTAAATAATTAGATTAATGGATGAATAATAGACATTGAAGTTGGTGAAAAAGTGTGTGACAATTTTTACACTAATGCAGCAGTGCAACCAGGGCCACAAGTGGATGTGTAGGGTGTGCACCGCATGGGAGCGCCAAGACATTCCTAATTAAATGCCTGGTTTAAATTATGAAATAATAAAACATAGAACAAACATTTATATTAAAAAAGCAAAATTGCGAGTTCTAACGATCCAAGTATATTATTTATATGATTGATATTTATCAACATATATAAGTATTTCATGATGAAGCGTGTCACGAAAATGAGTTTTTCGTCTAGAGAGGAATAAACTTGTACGGAATAATATATAAAAAGTTGCCAGATATTCATATCATCCACACACAACTCAAAAGAGTTTCGAAAGTAATAAAAAAATAGAATTCACGATACAGCCTATTTGCACTAGGCCTAATTCGTAAGGAGCTGAAATATATACAAAAATTTTAAACTTTATTCATTTAACACAATAATTTGTATCCAATTGATGAGTATAAACTGTGTAAATCCACGATTTCTCAATAATATTTTATGATAATTTTATGATAAGCATTGAAAATGATCATTTCTTCTACATGTTTCATATTATTTCATATTAATTTAACTAAAAGTATGAAGAAAATTTTAATACAAAATCGAAAAGTTAATTTATTAATTTCAAACAATTTTTTTATTGTTCAGAAATTTAACGAAATATATCGGGTCGAAAAATCTNATTTTCTTTGTTATTGTAAATAAATTTAATATCGAAAGCAGAAAAAAATATTTAAATTTATATTATATTATATTATTTATATTTAATTGATAAACAAACTAAAAATTATACGTTGTAACAAAAAAGTAATAACGATAAAAAATTACAAAATCGTAAAAGAATGATAACAACAACCATAAGGTTTATAGCCAGTATTTTGGCTAAATAATTAGATTAATGGATGAATAATAGACATTGAAGTTGGTGAAAAAGTGTGTGACAATTTTTACACTAATGCAGCAGTGCAACCAGGGCCACAAGTGGATGTGTAGGGTGTGCACCGCATGGGAGCGCCAAGACATTCCTAATTAAATGCCTGGTTTAAATTATGAAATAATAAAACATAGAACAAACATTTATATTAAAAAAGCAAAATTGCGAGTTCTAACGATCCAAGTATATTATTTATATGATTGATATTTATCAACATATATAAGTATTTCATGATGAAGCGTGTCACGAAAATGAGTTTTTCGTCTAGAGAGGAATAAACTTGTACGGAATAATATATAAAAAGTTGCCAGATATTCATATCATCCACACACAACTCAAAAGAGTTTCGAAAGTAATAAAAAAATAGAATTCACGATACAGCCTATTTGCACTAGGCCTAATTCGTAAGGAGCTGAAATATATACAAAAATTTTAAACTTTATTCATTTAACACAATAATTTGTATCCAATTGATGAGTATAAACTGTGTAAATCCACGATTTCTCAATAATATTTTATGATAAGCATTCAAAATGATCATTTCTTCTACGTGTTTCATATTATTTCATATTAATTTAACTAAAAGTATGAAAAAAATTTTAATACAAAATCGAAAAGTTAATTTATTAATTTCAAACAATTTTTTTAATTATTTAGAAATTTAACGAAAATATATGTAACTAGCAGGTAGGCCCGGTGTTGCTCGGGCAAAAGTAAAGATTAAGATTAATACGTTATAGTCAACCTTACCCGTTTTCACAGAATGCAAGAATTGGGTCCCCCTGTTTCCGGACTAATTAGAGAATTTTTAGATGGGTCTAAAAATATGTTCGATTTCCCACAAAAACGAAAAAAACTGCATCTGCGTCTTGCACGTCGCTTTCTCTTAACACTTCCATTGTTAAAACTTTCATTGTTGACACTTCCATTCTTAATACTTCCATTGTTGATATTTTCATTGCTACTTAACACTTCCATTGTCGAAACCTTAATCTTGTCTCTCTCTCCCCCGGGGGGGATTTCGAAAAATCCCTTCTTAGTGTGCGTTTTTGTGACGTATCCTAACTGTGTACCAAATTTCAACTTTCAACTCCTAACCGTTTGGGCTCTGCTCTTATCATCATTATTATTATTATTATCAACCCGTCTCGATTATATATTAGATTTGTTAATAGCATAAAACATTTTGGCATAATTGGTTTCATTTACTTATTAACTAAGTAGTAATACTAACATAAAAATTATTTTTCGATTTAGTTCACGAACGTCTACTTTGATGACAGAATTTCTTATAACAATATATTATTGCTTGAATTAAAAGTTACAGTCTCTAATAATCCGTATTAACAGCCCAATCTGAGAAGATTGTATAATTGAATATGAATTTTCCCCAACTTACAACCATCATCAATTCTATCATCAAGCATATTAATGCCACAATAATTCCTGGCTTTGCCTAAATAAAAAGAAGCTATCTATAACATTAAATTCGAATGATTGATTCATAAATTCTACATGGCACGTTCAAAATGTTTGCGGAAAAGATTTTTATTGTCTTTTTTATTGATTCTATATATATTCAGACTACATTGCCCTTAAATGTATGTTCCTGCATACTTTATCCAGAGGTCATACAGTTTTTGAAAACGTCCTGTAACCCGTCATTCGAGACTAGTTGATATATGCATTTTTCGTAGCGGCGATCATATCATTTGAGTTGACGAATTTTCGGCTTTCCATGTGAGTTTTTATGCAGGAAAAAAGCTGGAAATCATGTGGAACAAAGTCCGATGAGTACGGGGCATGTATAAAGACACGATGGAATGCTTACTCAAGTATCTTCTGTACAAGTTGAGATCGATGAACTTGAGTTATCACGTTGCTGTACCCAGTTTTGCAAAGCTCAAAGTTAAGACTTTTTTACCTGAATTGTACGTCTAAATTTTTTGATAAATACGTGAGGCAATCAAGCAAAGACATCAACTTTCGGCTTGGTGAAACTGGGTGCTGTAACACGATAACTCAAGCTCATCGATCTCAACTTATATAGAAGATATTTGAGTAAACATTTCATCAAAGTCCTTCCACCTGTCCCATATTCACCAGACCTTTGTTTCATGTGATTTCCACTTCTCTACCAGCAAGAAAACACGCATGAAAGACCAAAAATTCGTCAACGCAGATGAAGTGATTTAATCTACAAAAAATGCACTTCAGATGGTCGCGAATGAGGAGTTCCGGGCGTTTTCGAAAATCTATACGACCGCTGGATGAATTATGTTGCTGCAAAAGATGAATACTTTAAGGATAAAGTATAAATATACAGGATGTCCCGTCAAGACCACATAAACTCTGCAGATCGAGAAATCTTCGCTCGAAGTACATAAAAAAATGACCTAAGAACTCTACGACCCACAGTTTTCGAGAAAAATGAGAACGAAAAAGTATTACATTATATTCGGTGCACGAAACATCAGCTTTCCCGATAATAACCGGATTTTATTCAAACTCCGAGCTCTGTCGTTCTGCAGGTCATATGCGGTCTTGATGAGACAACTTGTATGTAAAGTAACTAAAAGGCCATAAAGGCCATAAAAATCTTTTTCGCGAACTTTTCGAACGTACCACGTATATTATGACTAGACAGCGGACGTACTGTACGTGGTATAGGCCCTCAAAAGTGGCGTTTTAGGCGCTTAAAATAAAGCTTTTAAATTGCGCTTTATAAACAAAAAATAGGCGGTCAAAATTTGCACAATGAACAATTAACCTACTTATTAGAACAATGAATTTTTTTATTTAACATATGTATTCCAAACAAAAATGCACGTATTCAGAATGATGCAAACACAAAAGTAAACAAACAATTATCTTTGCAATTTTTATTCGCTGTTTCCCATAGTTAGCTTCATAATATATTACTGTACAAGCACTTTTTCCAAATTTTTAATAGAAAAGTTGCAACATTTGTCACTGAGAATTAATTTATATGCAGAGAAAGAGTATATTTTAACCTTGGAAGAAGATGAACTGGGAATTCACTTTCAGTTTTGCTCTTCTTTCCTGCCAAAATATCAACCACAACAAACAAGCACTTTAATCCGAATCTCTTTTGAAGCACTGCTTTCAACTCTTTCTTCACTTTTTTGCAGCAGTGCCTGGTGCATCACAAAGTTTCTGCTTTGCTCTGTTGTGGAGATCAATTTGTTCATATATAGGTTCCCACTACTCTCAAGAGCAGTAATAGTATCTGCAATGAATGTGAAATAACACTTGATGTACTGTACATCAACTTGTTCTGAACATAAATGTCATTCAAAATTTTCTTTGTTTTAGTTACACAAACTGCATTGTTCGCTAAAGTGGCCAGAAGTTTTTTGATATCGAAGAAAAATTCACTGTAGTAGTTAGTAGAAAATCTTAGCCATGAATATGCTAAGGGAAAAATAGGCATTTGCCTAAAATCCGCTGTCTAAACATGAGAAATAAAGAATATCATTAGATAAGTTAATAAGATTAATAAATAAAGCATATCGTTGGATATGCTTTATTTCTCATTTAAAATAAATACTTTAAATAAAAGTATTTATTTTAAAATATTTGATATAGTTTTAATTTTATTACTATAAAATTGCATCAGGGGGTGTAATTTATTTCCGTTATAAATATAAGTAATGAATAATAATAAAAAAAATAAATCTGTCTGATTGCATTTTCAGGAAAAAAATGAAACTTAAGCAGTTTAATTTAAGAATTAAAGTAAATCTTTGCGGAAAATGAAACGAAATATTAATAAAAACTTTTTAAAAACATGAAAACAGACTAAACTTTGTTTTAGGCAAAAATAGGCAGAAACATAAAAATAAGCATTTTTAGGCATTATAAAATACCATTATTTCGGTCTAAATGTTCATGAAAAGTGTTCATACAAAATCTTAGTCATGTATATGCCAAGGAAAAAATAAGCATTTGCCTAAAATCCGCTGTCTAGTGATAACACAAAGACTTAAAGACTGCAATAATTGAGAAATGGGAGGAACTCCCATTTTCCATTCAAAAGTTCCCCAGAGTTCAAAAATAATTTTATTAGTTCTTATTAGCTCATTTAAAAAGTGAGGGCCAACACAGAAATCTTAAATGTGTACATCGCAAAGATCTGAATAGTAGTATATTATATTCAAGGATCGTTATGGACATTACTGTATTTATTTATATAATCTTATATAAATTTTAAATTATCAATTTTTAAGTGCAATAATGCAAATTATATAGGGTTCATTGTAAAGTCCTTATACACTAACATGTGAGAGCGACGCTTAACATACAATACGTAGTAATGAATGCAACACAAAAACAGGAAAATGAGAAATACACGCGTTATAATGAAACACGGGAAATGAATGGTAAATACACATTTTACTGTGTTCGATGAGCACAATCGCATTTTACGCTTTCTGTTCATGCTATTCGTGTACATAAGGAATCTTTTGTATTAAATCACTCGTCAACGACTTTGTAATTGACTTATTTTGCGTATCGCGCATCGTTTTCGAGGTAGTAATAGCACGAACTTCGGGGATTTAACTTCAATGGGCGTTAAAACTATTTCATCTTGTAGAGCATACTGTAGTCACTTTTATAACTGTAGTGTACAGTACGTCATATTCATAACTAGCTATCTGCGTTCGTTCGTATAAGAACTTTACTACGCACTGTATGTATTATGTACGATTAATCTGAAAACATTAAAGCTATTATAATTTATACGTGATTTAGACTTTAATATAATTGATATTCGATTTATATATTAATAAAAGTATTGGAATTATAATTAATTTTAACTACATTAATTAGTTAAAATTATTGTAAATTATTTTTATTCTTAACATTATTAAATTTTAAAAATTGAATAAATATTCGGAACAGGCATTCGGTATTTAAACTTTATTTAAAAAGTATTTATTATATTTATTTTGATGGTTGTTTATGAATACAATTGAAAAGCTTAAAAATGTTTAATATAATTTATTTTATTGTTAGATTAAGAAAAATTTAGTCGACCGAAATAAACTTATGCTGATTCTTTAGATCACGTGCTTTCGATTACGTATCCCGAAATTCAAAAAGATTATTCGATTGAAATTACAATTTAGACGTTTTTCGAATAGTCAAAATGCCTAGAAAAGTAAAGAAACCAAAAACGAAACTTAGAAAAGTGGTGCGTACTTGTTGGCCCATTCACAAAATATTCATAATTTGTTTCATACCATTGATTTTAACAATCATTATAATTGTAGGGAACAATTCATTGGTATGTAATTGGTATCTTATTCAAACATTCCTTTTATATAATTTAATATTAAATTTTTACTCGTGATATCTTTATATAAATATTTTCAGGAATCGAGAGGATTATATATTTTCTTTGTAATGGAAATTTTTTGGATATTAGAATTGCTTCCTCTTGCTGTAACTTCATTTTTTCCAATTGTATTATTCCCGTTGCTCGGAATATCGAACTCCGATAGGATATCTCGCATATATATGTCGGTAAGTGCAGTACTGTATGTCCCGACAGTCCTAAATTATGTCGGAGAAATTGATTTTGTGATTTTCTTTGATAGCCATCGAGCGTCTTGTATTTTGTATCCTCACTGTTTGCTGCTGGAATCGATCATTGTAATTTATACAAACGAATAGCATTGACTGTGTTGTTTTATATGAAGATAGATATATCGAGGTATTATTTATTAAATTAAATTTTGTTAGAATAATTTATCTATTTAATATTATATATTTTTATACACAGGACAATGTTAACACTTATGACGACAACAGCAGTTATTTCGATGTGGATTAGTAATACCGTGACTACGACCACAATTGTACCGATTGTCCACGCTATTATTGTAGAACTTGCTAGAGCTAAAATGTTATGTGATGGTAAGAAAATGAATTATGCTCCGAAGAAGAAATTTATTAAAAAGGAAGACAGAAAGAAAAACGTAGATATTACAGGTAAGAAAATTCTTTGAGGATGCCAATATTTTAAAATTAGAAGTCAAAGTTGTCTTTGATTGTTCTATTCAAAATCATGTAACTTTACAAAATATTCAAGAAATTGATTGTACGAAAACTTGTCATTTTATCTTTAAATCGTCGTCACAATAAAACGTAGAATTAAGAGTAATTTATAGCAAATTTAAATCGCGTATTCCCAGTGAAATATCCAATGCTTTATTAATTAAACAATTAAAATTAAAATAAGAACGCAACACTAATAAATACCGGTATGATGCTACCTATAGTGTAGAAAAAATATAGCCTAATGGTAATAAAATGTAATTATAATCGATATTCGTTTTATACTTTTCAATATGATAGGATCCATATCCAACGTTTCTAATGACAGACCTTTCTTCTTATTAATTAGTGGATCGTTAGATGTTGCGATAACTATTGATATTTCTTTTCCATTCTAAGTGGATTTTCTTTCGAGTTCATCATTATAAGCTAAACTGCTTTTCCTCGACATCGAAGACATGTTTAGCGATTTTATTTACTCGCCCCACTTGGGTCTTTCTCATTTTACAGCAAGACATAAATAGAAGAACAAGTCCAATTTTCGATTTATAAATTTAATTTTCATTGAGTCTTGAGATATATGATCCTAATAGCTTCGCACCTAACAATTTGCGAATTTGACGATTATAAATTACAAGAATTTAAATAGACATCGAGATAGTCAGGCGATAAGGCTTTAACCTGCTAATCTTACTCGTTATTTCATATGCAGACCAGAAACTTTTAGGAATTTTTCATTGACGGTTTGTTCAAAATATATCCGGCCTCCTTTCTCATTATTTAGTCGTTTCATTGTGGGCTTGGTTGAATGTATGATGGGACCTGAAAAGGGCCTCTTAAGGCTGCTATACACCATGGGTTAATCCTCAAAGGAGTAACCATGCATGCCTGATTTTGAGTCATTCCTAGATGTGTGGGGGGGAAAATTTAACAGTTTCGGCGAACTGTACCAACCACCCGAGTAGAATCGGCCATATTCTTTAGGTTAATTCCCAAAGGAGTAATCATGCACGCCTGACCTTTATAATTATTGGTAGTTTATGGGGGACAATTTAACAGCTTCGGCGACCTGTACCGACCACCGGAGTAGAATTGAAAAACCATTTGATTTTCCTGGCGCAGTGTCAGACTGCGCAGCCGACCTAAACGTGTGTGAGAACAATGTCTCGTGAATGTTTGGAAGAATTATTTTCTATAACCTTATTAACTTTTATTATTTATAACCTAATAAATTAATTTTTCAGGTTATAAATTATTTTCGGATCAAAAATTTCTCGAGTAAATTAAAATTATAAATAATTTTAATATTTAGAAAACTTCTCAATTCGTTTCTTCCGTTTTCATAAAACATCTCGATACTCTTTATCATTTTCTTCTACNCTACGTATCAGAATTTATATCTATAGATAATTTTCTATATAAGTTTATATATATATATCTTTAAATAACATATATTCATACTTACTCTACGAATGTAGATGCTGTGATAAGGACCGGAAACTAATCGGAACGGGTCGAAAAATCTCAGGAAGTTTTCTGAAGCGGCTTATCTCGAACATGTCGGCAGGAGTTGCTGTGGAAAGTTGAAAAATATCGCCACTATTTCGCCATTTCAAATTATTTATCACTACCAGTTTTACTATTAATTAATGCAGATGCCGGTAGCCTTATCAGTTGGCAGCTGGAAAGCAAAAGTAACACGTTAAACTGTCATTTACGAAGAGATAGTCAGACTTTTGGGTTTCCAATTCGAACGAAACTTGGTGAGAACGTAGCAATAAAACATAAACGTCTCCTTGTCAAAATAATAAGACCCACTTTTCAAGCGTTTCCAAAAAATGGCCTTTGAAAATTTATTGTTTAGCTTATAAGTCTTTGGAAATTTCATATTGAAGGCCGACAATATCCGAGTGAATTCAACGTTAGGCACTGAACTAGACAATGTAGGTTCGAACCCTTGAAATTTTAGTTTAATTTTGTTATTCTTGGAAACCATTAGGCTCCCCTCTGCCAGTGGCGCCCGGGGCAAGCTGCCCCACCCTCTGCTGAGAGGTTTTCTTCGTTTTTGGGCGATAGGAAATTCTGAAGTTCCTCGAGGACAGGCAGCCTCAAAGGATTAACCCATGGTGTATAGCAGCCTTTAGTGCTAAAAAAATGAAAAATGAGACAATAGTTATAACAGAGAAAAGAACAACAAAAGATGTTAGAATTAATTATTATGTTTTTATTTTGAGCCACAATTCATTTCTATCACAAAATTCTATAATATGGATTTTACTTTAATCAACGAAAAAGAGACAGTTTTCATCTTATATTTCCATGAATATAAACTAAACTTATTAATATCTAGAATATAAGTTTACTAATAATATATATATATTAAAAGAGAAAGGAGTTTTGTTAATTAATGATTAATGATTTTATTCCTTTTACACGAAATAGTTAACAATTTATCTAATGATGAATTATCGATTAGGATATTCTGCCAAGGTTGATTGACAACGAAAGTGCAATAAAACTTAATAATAAAATGTTAACATAATATATTTGCATTTGGCCTGAATATCTATTTTAGTTTGCCTAATTAAATAAATATAAATTTAAAACAATGAGTTATTTTTAATATTATTTTAAATGCATAGTGAAAGTAATAAAATTATAAATCGCAAATCTTATTTCTCTTCGATTTAACCACTCGAGTAGAAATTAATGGAAACGATAATAAAGATGAATCAGGAATTGAGAATAAAAGTGAATATAATAGCGAAGATAATAAAATCGAATACGACGATAATGTTAAGGAATCGGATAATAAAGCAGTTAATGAAGATAATGTTTATTTCAATAATGAAGAAATATTAAAACAAGGAGATGAACGTGAAGAAATCAAAGAGATTGAACGAGAAAATGAAAATGTCGAATACGAATTAAGCGAAGAATCGTTGTTTGCTGTAGAAATGTAAAAAAGACACTTCAATTATAAACTTATTTAATAAAAATTAATATAAACCATATAATCAGACAGTTTAATTACTATTTCAGTGAAAAATTGGACGAAGATCTGCAGAGAATGCGAAAAATACTTATGCTAAGTATTTCCATTGCAGCAATTTGTGGAGGAACAAGCACTTTAATCGGCACTTCAACAAATACGATTCTTGTTGATTATTTAAAATAGTAAGTTAATCAGACTCGTGTTTATCATAATGCTATGTAATTGCGTTAAATACGTTTGGCATTTAATTTTGTTTCGTTTTCAGCGAATTTCCAGATTCAAAAGAAGTTAATTTTCTTTCGTGGATGTGTTATCACGTTCCGGTTGTTTTCTTATTCGTTTTACTTATATATCTATATCTATCGAAATATGTCTTAAAATATAAGTAATCATTACTCTTTTTTCTATTTCATATATTCTTAAATTTAGAAATAAATAATCTTAAATTCTTGCAGACGAATTTCTAAAAATGAAGACATAAGGAAAATAATAATTGCCAAATATAAAGAACTGGGTCCGATATCGTAAGAAATTTTGAAATCTTTCAAAATGTGTTCATATTAAAACAACATACTTAGAAGAAAATATTCAAATTAGGTTTCACGAAGTTGCCGTTTTGTCATTATCCGTTGGAGTTGTTATAAGTTGTGTTTCAAAAAGTCCAACGTTTATTTCCGGTTGGCAAGATCTGTTGAATAGTCTTTACAGTGAAGGAAAAAGACTGTAAGTGGTGCACTATTCATTTCTCTTTGATAACTCTATATTTGATTCATTATTATTATTGTATACAGTGGGTGATCGGTTAACGAACATAATCCGTTCCAACACTTTGTTCGCTATCCGAATTGTTCGTTAACCGATTATCGATTTACCATAGGTTTTTATGTGAATTTGATTAATTTGTTCTGAAGACCACAAAAAATAATATATATATACTTTCTTACTACGTTTATTTATATGTAATAATAAAAAAACATATATACACAGTCTTGCATTTTTATTATTCATGCTTTTTCCGTTTGTGGGAGTTAAAGAATGTCTAATGTCGATTGCTTTCCTTTATTCTTTAGGATTTTTCAGAAGTAATTAATAGTATTGTAACTGTAGAGATCCCCAAACTTATTAACCTCAACCTGGTTTCGATGCCATTCTAAGATTGTTGTTCTGACATCCTCCCACTTCTTCAAAAGATAATACTTTTTAAATAGTAGATATCGACATTAATCATCTTTTTCAGAAGAAAACATATCTCGCCGAATTTCTTAGTGTTTTTCACACAAGAGTTTTTGGCGTTCTTCTGTCGTCAGGTCCGTTTCGGGTTCCATTATGAGCTCTTCGATGTTCTTCATTTCTCAGATATGATTTTTGTTACTTCTTTAGCTGCTCGAGTCTTCTCGATTATACGGTATCTTTCTTAGATAAGATTGAACTGCGGCCTACTGTAGACCTGTCCGGCACCATCAGACACCTGCCCACTCTCTACCTTTGCTATTATACTCTCACCTTTCGAAAATAAAAACCGACACAAAACTTAACGAGTGCCCACCCGACAGTGTCACAAATACTATAAAAGAATTCTTCCTGTCAGAAAAATAAAAGGCTGGAATTACAAGAGAGTATTTCAAAGTTCGAGGAATACTATCCGATTAGTATATACCGGGCTAAGCGTCGATGTCGACGTCTCCCGCGCTCCGAAAAGTTTCGGATTGTTCCCTGAAGACAAGGGAAGACCAGCGGTATCCATTATTTTACGTTGCTTCTTCTTGTGTTTGTTCTATGAGGTGTTCGTTGTCCGAACATTAAAATCTTACGCGAAAGTGTTCGTTATCCGATTTGTTCGTTAACCGATCACCCACTGTACTTGTTATAAAATTAAAGAATAAAATAATAAATGGTGTATATCATATATACAAATACAGTATAAACATTTGTAAACCGTATAGTTATATTAAAGCCAACGATTGCCGGATTAGATCGGGCTTATCTAGCCCGATCTAATCCGGCAACAGCTACTATCAATAATTAAAAGCTAAGTAATTTGGCATAGAAGTAGGCGTTAGACTTGCGCTTAAAAGTATAAATAAATCATCACGGTAATTGGCTGCAACTGTCTTGTGATTTTAACATCACTGCCTCTTTTCTCCTCTAGAAGATGCAAGTGATTGCATTATATAAAGTCGACATAAAAGTGGCCCGGGGAAATTAGTATAACTTTTATTCTGGGACTGAATCGTAATATGATGATTAACAATACATTGATCCTAGCTAAAAGTAACATGAAGAATGATTACGAATAAATTGTACATAATGGTCCCTATAGTTATAATATAGTTCGGATATTATAACTAGTCTTCATAGTTTGGACAAATTTTTTTTCAAAACAGACATATAGGCCTAAAATTTATTAAATTCTATAGTAATTTATAATTTCTTAACAACAGAAAATTATAATAGAAGGCTTGCGTCGAATTACGTTGCAAGCGCCAAAATAGCCAAATTGAGATTTTTTATAATGAATTGTGCACTGCAAAACGATGCTTCGAATAGTTTATTTACCATGAAAAAAATCCAGCAACGAATTGGTTAACTTTCTCGGTAACAACGTTTAAAACTGCGTTTGGCACCATCACCATCATTTAAAAACTTTTTATATAATTAATTATTATTAAATAGCAAAAAGCTTAATTTACAGGGTAGGGATGAGTTTCATTTTAAAAAATTGTAAATGCTAATAACGAGTAAAATCGTCATTAAGTCCGATTTCACTCGAGCTATGACACCTGACTTCTATCTCTTACCTGTTGACCTTTACCACCAAAATTTAACAGAAGCGATCTCACTAATATACAAATCTCACCCCTAATCACTAATCTCACTTCTAACTAATCTCATTCTTAATATACAAATCTCACTGCAAAATTTCAGAAATTTTTGACAAAAGACAGGTTAACGAGTGACCGCCCAGCAGTCTAACGAATACTATAAAAAAAAATTTTTCTGTCAGAAAAATAAAAGTCTGGAATTACATGGGAGTATTTCAAAGTTCGAGGAATAAAGAAACAAAGTAGTTGAACAAAATCGTGCCCTCACACACTGATATCCATACACATAAAAAAAATCTTTTTGCATTTCTTGACGTTCCAAAGTCCTCCGAGTTCAAAAATATAAAATTTTGGGAAGTCATTTTTTATCGATTGTCACACTTTCCTTGTGTTATATATAACAACCGGGACAGTAAAATCCGATTAGTTGTTAAAATGAAAAATGTTTTCAACTTATCAACTACACGGAAAAAACGTTACGTGTGCATAAAAAATGGCGGACGAGCAGGCGTTCGCAATCACATCTTCCGAGCTGCAAATGCAAAATTTAGGAAAGCGTCCCTCAAATTGGAATCATAAGAAATCGAAAATGCACAGAAATTGAAAATTAGCTGTAAAGATTTCGAGTGAGGTGAATGGATAAATGTTGCATGCGCCATATTGCAAGCCTTGCAGCATGGGGCTTGCAAAGAAGAATAACATAAAAGACCTCAGTATTTTAGGAAATTTTTTCTGAGCCAAAGCAACTAAAAATTATCTCGGCGATGTTGGTTCAGATTACGTCTGATGACTCTACTATCATTAGAATAAGACGGTCCTACGATTTACAGCCACGAAATGTATTTTCTTTACTGTCGTCGATGAGAAGTCGTGCAAACAATGAAGTTTTGAATCGCTGTAATGGTTCCCAGAACCATTTACACTGTATACACGCAGTTAATCGCTCCCAACGAAAATTGCCAAGAAGAACTTACTCTCTATGTGCAAGTTTCTGAGTTCAGAAAATGCAACTTTTACAAATTTCTAAAGTCTGATGACGAAAGTAATAATACTGACTAAATCTAAATAAAGCATAAATTTACATTTGACAATCTGTACTTTTATTATAGGTAATTTCATGCTCAATGAACGAGAGCTATCACGTCACAGGCAACGTTTTTCCATTAGCATAACTTTTTTAAGTGCCCCAAAGCATGCACTTATAATATGCTGGGTCATAAATAAGAAATAAGAACATCGGTTACAAAAGAAATGTGTAATTTAAAGGCAGAACATCGCATTGAAACCAAAGTAGGGGAAGGTCGAGTAGTACTTATAAAAACACCAGTTAAAACTCATTTTTGTAAGATAAAAGTAGTAATAATTTTTAAAACACTTTTTACAGTCATTATATTTTTACCGAGTTCAATTGTGGAGGGTTGTTTCGGACATGAGAAAAATCTGCAAGAAGAGAATTACTTTTGGTTTCACAAACAACAATTTATTATTAGGCAGAGTTATTGAGAAATTTATAAAAATGCAAATTATAGATCGTAAAACTAAGTTAATACATGATAAGAAAGTAGTATAAATGAGAAAAAAATTATGTCTGAAAATTTAACAATTCGTTTTAATGACAAATGCATTTTGTGTTTACTTTTTTTTTGTTTGTTTGTTTTTGGTAATACAAACGTCACATTCATAAAACATTGTTTCCTTCAAGATCGGCGCAATTTTCGTGAGCCCAATCTTCACAAATCCTACACTGAATCTAGTCTTCTTCAAAGGTTTCACCACATTTAGGTCTATTTGATGTTTTCTTTCTTTGTTTCTTTATTTTCCCCCAGCAGTTTTTTCTTATCTGCATAGATCTTTTTTCCTTCTTTTTTTCCTTTCTTCTACTGTAGTTTACCCATATTCTCCCGTAAAGCAAAAACATTCCGTGAGAATATAATTCTTATCAACCTTAAACTGTTTCCGATACAGCCCGTAACATCTATGGCCCATACAAACCGCAACATATCTGTCCGATAAAACCCGAAACATCATGGAACAAACATTGCTTATCACATGCGCATTAGTAAGCTTAAGGAGATTTCCGGCCTACAAGTTAAAGAACAATTAACGTTGTTTTCAACAATTAAATAAAAAACAACTTATTCTCATTTTCAGGCAAGATATGGCAACCAGAAGTTATCTTCGTTCACTCAAAACACTATTAAAAAAAAACAAATTTTCTGCACGTGTTAACAACACTGCTGATTGACTAAATGTTGCGGAATCTGAACTTTCTTTATTCACCCAACATGCCATTTGCAGCAAGTGTTAGAAACAACGCTTGTCCGATACTAACCGCCGTCCGGACCTACCCGACCTACCTGAAAGTTGCGTGGGTAAACGTTTCATGTGACATATATACGTGCAACTTTTTCTATTACACAGAGTGCTTTATCTTCGTTTTGTAAAGTATTTCACGATAAAAATGACCCAATTTTTTGCAGCAATATCATTCCTACATCGTTAACTAAAATCAGTCATTGTTTCAACTACTCCAGCGCAATTAGGGGTTTTCTGGTTTTTCGCGCTTTTCTGGAAACGCTACTTTGGCGCTTGCAACGTTATTCGACGCAAACGTACAATTTCAATTCTCGAGTATTTTCTATATTCGGAAATCTTTAGTACAGTATATAGAATATAGTAGTATTTACTGTAGACTGTACTTTACTGTCATGAAATTTTTGAACTCATTTTCTTTATAATAAATTTAACTGTATAACCCAGTAACTTTTCCGTATACAGGTCGGCAATCACTTATCCGAAATCCTTGGAACCAGACACTTTTCGGATTTCGGAAAAGTAGTATATTGTATGTACTGTACATAACGAAAACAGGCGCCTGTGAAAGCAAAGATTTCCTAGCGTTTCACTAATTACAGACATGATCGACATAAGCAGCTTTTTTGACATTTTCAGTGTCTTCCAAGTCGAAAAATCACCAAAAAATAACAAATATAAAAATGAACAAAATATCCGTAAGCAGCACAGACAGGTAGAACTTGTATACGTTGTTGCAAACGATCGTTGCAGTGCAGACTAGTTCCGCTCCATGTTCCAGGAAAACTTTCATGGAGCGGAAGCGTAATTAGTCTTTGAGGCTTTTCGGTTTTCGGAATTTCGAATATAGTATAGCTCCGGGAATTTTTCAGGTGATGATCCGTACGGATGTCGTATCTCGTCCCTTAATACCCGGCCGCCCCAATGTGGGCCTGCCGAACCCATATTCCACTCGCTAAGAGGCCCTCTTAGTGACCACAGGATAGAAAAAGTTAGAAAAAAAACTTATTGCATTTTAAGAAAAATTTAGAACTAGAATTTTTCACAATTTTTAATACAATAATGGTAATTATTTTAATAACTAAAAATAATGTCAAATATTTTATATCAGTTATGTAATCGGATAATTTGTTATTAAATATTTTTCAGTGAAGTGAATTTTGTCACTCCTGCAATCTTCTTTTCTCTGTTTCTCTTTTTGATTCCTGCTAAACCGAAACTGAAGAAGAGTCCTCCTTTACTTACCTGGAAAAAAGCACAAAAACACATGAATTGGGACGTTTTGTTTATATTTGGTGGCTCTTTCACTCTTGCGGAAGGCTTGAAGGTTTGTGGTTTCTTAACTGTTTGAAAAAAAAATTATTTTCAAGGAAATTATTTGAGACATTTACAATGTTTAGACGACCAAAATTACAAAAGTATAATTATAGGATTCGGGAGTTATTAAGCTTTTGGGCGATCAACTTAAGATTCTGTCTAACTTTCCAACTGATTTGGTCATGATAATCATCTGTTTACTAGCGATAATATTCACCCAACTGATTACAAATGCAGCAGTGAATACATCTTTCTTGCCAATTATTAAAAGTATAGTATGTAATAATTATATCATCCATAGTTTTAATATTTTATTATAAATTTTTAAATATAGAATTCTATAATATATTTTGTAGGCAATAGCTCTTAAGGTAAATCCGCTATATCTCATGATTCCGTTTACCATATCGTGTTCATTTTCCTTTTCGTTGCCTATGAGTACTCCATCTAATGTTGTTGTTTACAATGCATCAGGAATAAAAACCATCGAAATGGTAAGTTTTACAAAATTCATTAATTAATATTTCAAATTTAATGTTACACGTTGCTTTTTATTTATTTATTTATTTATTTAGGCAAAGCCGGGAATTATTGTGACGATAATATGCCTGATAATAGAATTGTTAATGGTTATAAGTTGGGGAAAATTTATATTTAATTATACAGCCTTTCCAGATTGGGCTGTTAATACGGATTATAGAGATTAATAAAGACTGTAACATTTAATTTAAGCAATAATATTGTTATAAAAATTTTTGTTAATTTGTAAAATTATTCATCAAAGTAGACGTTCATCAACTAAATCAAAAGAGAATTTTCATGTTCGTATTACTACTTAGTTAATAAGTAATTGAAACCAATTATGGCAAAATGTTTTATGCTATTAACAAATTACATATATTTTTGTTAAATTTCTGAATAATTAAGAAATTGTTTGAAATTAATAAATTAACTTTTCGATTTTGTATTAAAATTTTCTTCATACTTTTAGTTAAATTAATATGAAATAATATGAAACACGTAGAAGAAATGATCATTTTCAATGCTTATCATAAAATATTATTGAGAAATCGTGGATTTACACTGTTTATACTCATCAATTGAATACAAATTATTGTGTTAAATGAATAAAGTTTAAAGTTTTTTTGAATGTCTTTTTTCTAACGTTCCGTTCTCTTAATTTTTATTACAATAGTCTACTAGCTGCAAGGACCCGCTTCGCTGGGTTTTTAAAAAGTAACGATAGTGAAGATTAAGATAATTACATTATAGCCAATCTTACCCGTTTTCACAGAATGCAAGAATTAGATCCACCGTTTCCAGACAGAACGTCTCCTGTTCACGTCCAGTCAAATGAACTATTTTCAATTTGATCAATTTTCTGGAACGTTTACAATCGTTCTATAATCGAACCAATTCGAATTCGAATTCGAATACAGTAATACCCGACTTACGCGAACCCAGAGTTACGCAATTTTCAAATCTCGTCGATTCGTATTTTGTTTGAGCGCCACGCAACCCTTGATTACTCACTCCCCCAACACTATTGTTCAGCTTACATGTTCGGACGTGTCGCGCGGAATCCACACATAGCTACAATTTATTTTGTGTTATTTATTTCTGCGTTTGTTATATCTACGGAGACTCGAGAGACTTTACTATGTCATCCAAACGAAGTAGAACTAATTCTTCTGCATCAAACAAGAAAAGAAAAACTTTATCTTTGGAATGTAAAGTTAACATTGGGTACGTTCGTAAAGTCGAACGAGTTAAACGAGAATGGCGTCATCGTTATTCCCATTTCGTTAGACTTTTCGAACGATTCGTTACTAACGCGTTTAACTCGTTTGACTTTACGAACGTACCCATTATTAAAGACTTCGATACAAAAATGAAAATTTGTGAATTGGCAAAGGAGTTTGATCTACCGGAATTGTCGGTCAGAACAATTATAAAAGGCAAAGAAAAAAGTTCTCGAAGCTGTGAAAAATGTTCAATCTTTAAATTCAAGCATTATTCGTAAACGTCACAGTATTATCGCTGAGATGGAAACAATGTTAAAATTATGGCGTAATAATCAAGTAAATGTGAAAAATTGTAAAATAATATAGGCCTAATTTGTTATACATATGTATTATCTAAGATTTTATTAAACATTTTTTTCTAAATTATTGTTTTCTTTAGTCTCCGGCTCCAATTAAAAATTATTTGTATGTATTTATATGCGAAATTATACTCCGACTTACGCAAATTCGACTTACGCGGTTACCGCTCGGTCCCACCTATCGCGTAAGTTCGGGGTATTACTGTACAAATTCGAATTTGAAACGGTTCGAACATTTTTAAAATCGAAATAGAAAATCTTCGAAGTCAACCACTTTCAACCCATATCTCCCGCACCCTTATAGCTATCGAGACGCAACCACCATAGTGCACGAATGGAGACTTGGGGCTACTACCACATACAAACACCATTCATGTGCGATGTGTAGTTTTGGCTGAAAAGTGAAATATAGGGACACACACGTCCATATATATATAGATATATAGATATAGATTAAAAAGAGAAATTCAAAGTACAGCGATCGCTGGTCGGCTTGAGCGTTCTGAAGAGGAAGGAGTCTTTCACTGTTACTGAGAGTCTTGAGTCTAGTAATAATCCGTGATATTAATATTCAGAATTGGTCACAACTGATTCAAGTCAATTGTTCTTTAATCCGGAACGGCTAAGGTCCTGTGGAAACGATGGAAATCGAGAATATTAGTGGCGGAGTTCTGCGGAAATGATCACACTGTAAAGGCGAATGGGCGAACTCTCTCTCCTTCTCGCCCTTCCTTTCATTTGGGTCTCGCTTCTCTGATGACCAAATTTGGTAAGTTTTTGCAGTGAGCTGGCTGCCGGTTCAATCTACGATTTTTGGCAAAAGTTCCTTCGATAAGTAGGTTTTTGCCACTGATGTGTTGTTTAGGAAGGAAGGAAATGTTATCAAAGAAAAAATCTGGCGAACTTCTGTGATATTTGTCATCTCCCACTTAAATCAATTTTTTCTCTTTGAAAAAATATTAAATCGCCTAAATTACAAAATGCTAGCCCGAGTTCTCACTCAAATACACAGTACTTCTACACTACAGTATATACAAGTTACACTATAGTAGGCCTACATCATGAACATTAAGTACAGTACAAATATTACGTCAGCCTCAATGGGAATCAATGTATAATTCGTATACTTCGATCACCATTAAAACTCCATAAAATTGCGTTTGGATGGCATGAACGTCTTTGCAAGTTATTATATAGCCTACTGCTCCGTACAAGTTTATTCTCGCCAGAAGAGAAACTTACCATCAGGTCCACTCTGCTTGTGTTTGATCGTACAGTACAATGATATAAATCTATACAAATATTATATAAACGGCTTGCTGTATATTATATTACAATTGTAAATTCGTCTCTGTAATCCAAAAACACACTTTGGTAGACGTATCTTACAGCAATAATATTGCTGTAAGATACGTCTACCAAAGTGTGTTTTTGGATTACAGATACGAATTTACATTTGTACTATACAAATATACTAGGTCTACCCTCATATATTCGCTTCCACATATTCGTATTGTCTAACACTACTAAATGAGCATTGGGCGAATAGAAAATGTGTGGATTGGTCATCAGTAATTCCATTTTAGTGTTTTTTAGACTAGATGTAGTTCGATTTCCATGTAATTTGTCTGCTCCTTTTTATAATGTAGTTTTATCGCGTTTTTTTAATGCCCTTGTTTTTCACGTTCTCATTTTTCTACTTTGGTGAAGTGATACTTATTTTGCTTTAACGCCCAAAAAGACAGTATTTATCTGCTNCCGCTTCGCTGGGTTTTTAAAAAGTAACGATAGTGAAGATTAAGATAATTACATTATAGCCAATCTTACCCGTTTTCACAGAATGCAAGAATTAGATCCACCGTTTCCAGACAGAACGTCTCCTGTTCACGTCCAGTCAAATGAACTATTTTCAATTTGATCAATTTTCTGGAACGTTTACAATCGTTCTATAATCGAACCAATTCGAATTCGAATTCGAATACAGTAATACCCGACTTACGCGAACCCAGAGTTACGCAATTTTCAAATCTCGTCGATTCGTATTTTGTTTGAGCGCCACGCAACCCTCGATTACTCACTCCCCCAACACTATTGTTCAGCTTACATGTTCGGACGTGTCGCGCGGAATCCACACATAGCTACAATTTATTTTGTGTTATTTATTTCTGCGTTTGTTATATCTACGGAGACTCGAGAGACTTTACTATGTCATCCAAACGAAGTAGAACTAATTCTTCCGCATCAAACAAGAAAAGAAAAACTTTATCTTTGGAATGTAAAGTTAACATTGGGTATGTTCGTAAAGTCGAACGAGTTAAACGAGAATGACGTCATCGTTATTCCTATTTCGTTAGACTTTTCGAACGATTCGTTACTAACGCGTTTAACTCGTTTGACTTTACGAACGTACCCATTATTAAAGACTTCGATACAAAAATGAAAATTTGTGAATTGGCAAAGAAGTTTGATCTACCGGAATTGTCGGTCAGAACAATTATAAAAGGCAAAGAAAAAATTCTCGAAGCTGTGAAAAATGCTCAATCTTTAAATTCAAGCATCATTCGTAAACGTCACAGTATTATCGCTGAGATGGAAACAATGTTAAAATTATGGCGTAATAATCAAGTAAATGTGAAAAATTGTAAAATAATATAGGCCTAATTTGTTATACATATGTATTATCTAAGATTTTATTAAACATTTTTTTCTAAATTATTGTTTTCTTTAGTCTCCGGCTCCAATTAAAAATTATTTGTATGTATTTATATGCGAAATTATACTCCGACTTACGCGAATTCGACTTACGCGGTTACCGCTCGGTCCCACCTATCGCGTAAGTTCGGGGTATTACTGTACAAATTCGAATTTGAAACGGTTCGAACATTTTTAAAATCGAAATAGAAAATCTTCGAAGTCAACCACTTTCAACCCCATATCTCCCGCACCCTTATAGCTATCGAGACACAACCACCATAGTGCACGAATGGAGACTTGGGGCTACTACCACATACAAACACCATTCATGTGCGATGTGTAGTTTTGGCTGAAAAGTGAAATATAGGATATAGGGACACACACGTCCATATATATATAGATATATAGATATAGATTAAAAAGAGAAATTCAAAGTACAGCGATCGCTGGTCGGCTTGAGCGTTCTGAAGAGGAAGGAGTCTTTCACTGTTACTGAGAGTCTTGAGTCTAGTAATAATCCGTGACATTAATATTCAGAATTGGTCACAACTGATTCAAGTCAATTGTTCTTTAATCCGGAACGGCTAAGGTCCGGTGGAAACGATGGAAATCGAGAATATTAGTGGCGGAGTTCTGCGGAAATGATCACACTGTAAAGGCGAATGGGCGAACTCTCTCTCCTTCTCGCCCTTCCTTTCATTTGGGTCTCGCTTCTCTGATGACCAAATTTGGTAAGTTTTTGCAGTGAGCTGGCTGCCGGTTCAATCTACGATTTTTGGCAAAAGTTCCTTCGATAAGTAGGTTTTTGCCACTGATGTGTTGTTTAGGAAGGAAGGAAATGTTATCAAAGAAAAAATCTGGCGAACTTCTGTGATATTTGTCATCTCCCACTTAAATCAATTTTTTCTCTTTGAAAAAATATTAAATCGCCTAAATTACAAAATGCTAGCCCGAGTTCTCACTCAAATACACAGTACTTCTACACTACAGTATATACAAGTTACACTATAGTAGGCCTACATCATGAACATTAAGTACAGTACAAATATTACGTCAGCCTCAATGGGAATCAATGTATAATTCGTATACT